CATCACAATGGTGGGCGGTGCAAACACCTTGGAATGCGTCCATATCTTTGTGTCTTTCTGGGTGTATTTGGACTATTCGGACAACACTGGACGACAGCACTGTGTTTTTGGTGGTGTTGCAACTGGGGAAACCCCGCCATCTCAGCTTTGTGTGTGGAGCGATGGGAGTGGTGGGTGCATGACTTTCCACTCTGGTGCTCTCCGAAATGACACTGTGGGGCTCCCGCCCAAACAGCTCCTTGGGAAACCAACGCGCCTCTCTGCACATGTATCGTGTGTCTCTGCTTTTTTCATGCGTCGAAATACAGAACACAACGAGAAAGAGAGAGGAAAGAGAAAGTGATGACTAAAATTGGCATTCTCTGACATATATGAAGATGGATCTTACACTGAATCGATGCCAATCAAAGTAATTGGTCATTTCGATGTGTTTTAGGGGGGGAACGAGCACTGTACGAGATGATATTCAAAGCGAGATGCTTGCAGCATAATGATGATGGTGGAAGGTTAGGGTTAGGGTAACTGCTCTGCTCCCTTCTGAAGGACTCTTCCATGAGCAGAGAAGATGTGTGACAACAATCTCACGGTGTAGGCACTGACAGAAAGGTGTTTTTGGGGGATGAGAAACATGGACCAAGTTGCATCTGCGGACTGCCCATCAGGATACTCCTTCTGCTGTGCTACCTACTCTACAACGTGCAGAATGAGGCTGAACTGACAGCGGTGCTGGAGATGACTGTGGATGTGGCACGCAACCTGTATTTTGTTTGGCTTCCGGATGTAGTCTACTCGCTACTCCTACTGCAGAAGTAATTTGTGGGTTGAAGAGGTGGGTGGGTGCCAACCTTTAAAAAAAAGCACTGGATGCGCATTGCTGGCTGCGGATGCGACATGACAACTTTTGGGCATCATTGGCGGATGGTGCACCACTGACGTAACGCGAGAAGGACTGAAGAGGGAATGAAAGGGTTGCTGAAGGTGATGGGTGACTCTTTGTTGTGCCGATGCTCCTTGAGGCTGTGTGAAATGACGCGGTAAGAAAAAGGATTGTGAGCCGGTGTGTAAAGCAATTGTTTGGCAGGGCCAATGCTTTGCTGTGAACTTTCCTCGGTGTTCTCCTGGTGTGCGGAGTCGCGGGGATCCAATGCTCAATTTATGGTTGCTAGGAGGTTCTGCTTTATGCAAGCGGAAGAACTTAACATTCGAACTCATCTTGATGTTGGTGGAAACACATGACGCTGTGTGAGGTGTGATGCCTTTGGATGATCATTAAGATATGTGAGTGTGTGTGTGTGCTTTTAGCTTTTGAATTCGTCCAGAGGGAAACAAGTCTAGTTGAGTGGGAAAGTGTGTTGAATTATTGCTGCTTCGACATGTCCTTTACCTGCACATGGCCGTTGTGAAGGAAACGATCAAAGAGTCAATCTTGCATAAGTTGACACTGAATCAAGTTGTTGGTGGGTGCTCTTTTTGGTTTTGTTCCTGCATACACTTGTGGCGCTCACCATGTGTTTGAGGTGCAAAGTAAGGTGGGATTTCCTCTCGTGTTTGTGGGTCATTTGTGACGGTAACAATACTTGAGTCTGGGTTCAGGGGGAATGAGGAAGGAGGTGTGTGTGTGTATTCCTTGTTGAGGGATTGGCTTCTTCCCTAGCAACACAATTCGAATCACTCTGCAGGCGACTGTGTGGTGGCGTGGTCCCCGCTGACGGTGCCTCAGCATGTGCTTTTGACGAGTGACGCAAGCGTCGCTGACACGGGTTCAGGGCATGCTGGCCACCTGAGGTGTCTCTTGGAGTGGTGCAACAGACATTGAGGGAATTGCTGGTGTGAAGTGTATTGAGGCAGCTGTGTAGTGGCTGTGCTGAGGTGCAGGGGGGAGAGAGAAGCCCCAAAGAAGTGTTTGGAAAAAGTACTGATAAAACACAGTGATCTAATCAGGAATCAGGTATGTATGCTGATAGAAGAAGCATGGGGAAGTGTCCACTGTACAAGTTCTTCTGTTGCTGATTGCCTATGCTCTGCATGCTGTTTGCTGTGTTTTGCATCTGTTTTTTTCTGAAGCAAGACAAGCAGCTCCTAGTAGGACTATTAATGCAATCGATGAACATGAGGCACATGGAAGGGAAATCGCAATCGGCACACCTACAGTGTTGCAATATACCAAAGAACATTGACAGGTGCAGTCTCAACGATATGGG